GGAATACGAAGTCACGGAACAATTTCAGCATATATCGATCGCCCGTTTCCGACCAATCCGGATTCGACCCGTTGCGACTGTTGAAAAAATGGAGAGAAATAAGAGTGGAAGTAGGCATATTCTCCATTGTTCCCTGGCGGGAGCAACGACGTAACAAGGTAGGCGAAACGGCAGTTCTATTGAACTTGAGAACAGTACACACATCAAGATAATGATTCCTATTGTGAACCAGCAAACCACATAAAAAAAGCGGACAGTGAAAAGTGTGGATCCGTTCGTATCAAAAACACGATCTAAAAAGAACCTTTGAAAAAACGGAACGAATGCACGATAAAAATCTGCGTCCACAAAAGCCTTCTGCAAGACATTCAAGCTGTTAGGTTACAGGGTTTTTGCTGCCATGTGATATGTTGTGAAGTTACTCAACTCAAAAGAAAAGTATTCACTGCAATCGGGTCTCACATCCGCAACCGTGTGATTGTTAGCCAACATCACTAGCAGCAAGCTGCCGCGGTCTCCTTCCATTAACATTACGGAAAGCGCGATTGTCCTAAGCGGCTACTGACCGTTCCGGTTAATATGACTGACTACCCTGACCGATGACGACTGCGGAAATACCTACTGAGTATCGATTAGTTGGTTCGGACACGCTCCGAAAATCAAGCCATCGTACGATTTATAGAACCTCATCTATGGGACCCAGCGTCTGTTACAACCGGCCAGGTAGTGACCAGAGAATGATTTGGTAGTGAGGCATGATATAAGTGACCACTTGATGAATATTCCTGATTGGGGAACAAAGAAGTCGAAAAATCTATATCCGAAGACCCTATCAAATATGATAGCAAAGGCGTAATCATTGATACCTGTATAAACAATGTGTTATAAATAGAATGCACGTCCATTCACCTCTATTTGTTTAATGCCGTGTGGTGTTATGCCAATTTCTGTACAAGAATCTACGTTAAAAACAGATCAGCCTTAAAGTTACCTCTCGCAATCCCCAATTTCTCTCCAGGAACACAGACGATCCACCTCACGGTGCGACAGCCACAACGAAAGCACGGGTTGCTGTCAAGCAATCCGAATGAAAACAACATCTTGATCATGTATGTTACACAACTGCAGAGCAAGTCTGTTCATGTCAAACGGGACAGTACATTGGTAGACACTAAGGTAACCATGGCGACAATGTTGACTTCAAATAATGTGATAGCAGGTTCGACTACGCAGTGTCCTGACTATTCCCACCTAAGTTTAGGCAGCCTGATAGTAATTAGCTGATCAACATTCTAAAGTTCAACATGACAGCTGAGGTTTCGCGGTGTTAAAGCTGGTAACACCAGAAAGTTTAATTTTACAGAGACAAAGAACGCCACAAACATAAACCGATGCAGAAAACAGAGTGGTTCGGTTGGATGGGAGTTAAAACGTGAAGACCGAGTGTTGTAAAATAGTTATCAATATAAAATTGACCATGATGATTCTGTTGAAAAGAGAGAACTGAAACGCAACACCAACATCCGAAGCTTCTACGGGAATACATGTGTATGGCAAACCTGCCAACCGGTTCGGTCTTTGCTAACTGACTTACTCGCTGCGCTCGACGATTGACTGCAACTTACAGACCATGCGAAACAAGCGATCGCACTCCATACCCTGTGAAGAAATAAGAAACGGTTAGTGCAGAAAACAGTCTGACCTCTAATGAGAATGGGAACGATTAAAAACAATAAAAAGGCATGTTGGAACAAATGCTACAAACGACCGAACCACGAACGGTGTGAACTAGACGCAACAAAGCGAAATTGTAGGAGAGACAAACACCTCTGCCGACACACGTATGTATAGTGAAAGCACCTATACTATTTGAAATTCAGGTAGACCCACTGCGTAATATCCAAGAATTATTGGATAAAAACTGAATAAACTGGACAGATAACAGAGTGAACGTTTAACGAAGTAAAGCAGAAAACGATCACAATCAATTCACTATGCCCAGAGATGAAAACAATGCTGAATTAGACCAGCAAAAATAATTCAACTACAAAATGCAACTGGCTGTCTGCAAATAAGAAGCATGCCACAAAAAGTGGGTTTTATTCATGCGTGCGACAGAACACAGACGCACCAGGAATAACTGACGCTCCAGGAAATCTGAGTGGTCACAAACGTTCGTCAGTTGATCGTAGACGAACGGGGCAGTAGCTCGTACTAACTGTTCCACATCGGTAACTTGGCCGCAGATAAGATTACGCAAAAGGCTGACGAGGTCCGGAGTATAAGTACGTTGCAACAGGTTGAATGAAGTGGTCCGATGAGCATTCTGTTGTTAAAACAATGAAAAATAGCAGAATCATCAACGAATGAAGATTCAGTTCAAGTAGATCTCCGAGATCACATAGGGATAAACTGTTCAGTAGACTACTCGAAGCCACGATCGCAACGAATTGCGCATTGGGTATTTTAAACTGCACAAGCAGAACAAGTTGCCCCCTTATCAATCTGAGGAACACATAAAGAACATTAAGTTTGTGAAGTGAGTTTACTTCATACACCCTCTTTGACCGCAAACGTTTCGTACGATCACAACGTGCAACCGGATGAAACTGTTTATGGTTATTAAGGTATCGTAGGTCACTCGTCATAAGTCTTCGTTACGTGCCCAAAAGGGGTTGAAAGTCACATTACGCCTTCCTTGGTTTCCTTAACCAGGATAAAGGTGGTTTGAACAAGCCAGGAGTAATAAATCATCCGTTTTCAGTGGACTGTTTATTTACCTTAATGTTAAGTGTGACATGTTTGCGATTAGGAAGGGTATACAAAATCAGTCCATCCCTTAAACTTCATGTTCTCCAATCGTTATTCAAGTTAAACAGGGATAAGTTTACGGAGGAAGGGTACACCCATAAGTCGAATAGCTGTAGACAAAGGGCAGATAATATTGTACACAAGAATTTTAAAAACAAAGTTTTTAGGAGAGTTAAGAGATTCAAAGAGGAAGAAAGTTTTACAATATTGTTTACCCTCGGAGGGAGTGAAAATTTTTTTTATGGAAGACAAGGTAGTAATGTCCATTGTCATAAACGACTCAACGTAGACTGACGTGCAGAGCGGTTAAAAGAAGTGGAAGGAAGAGTACGTCCAGTAAGTCGACGAACAGTTGCCATGGTAACAGCGGTAGCAGAGAGACAAACATCTTTGTAGTAGGACAAAGACTGAAGGCCGGCTACGAAATTGACGAGGCACGTAGCCTTACACCGGAAGAGGAAGATGTGAGGTCAATCATCTAAGACTTGCAAACAGTATTCAAAGATATTAAAAGTCTGAGAGCCCCAAAAGAGAAAACTGGTTTTTACAACACTCAAATAGCTAACAGTTTAGGTATTCGGTTCTTTAACAAGCATGCAAACAACAAACGAATAGGCAAATTATCAACCCGAATCACCAACTCCTCCACTATTTCTAACACTCGGAAAGTTAACGGTTTGATATCGAATAAGCAAAGGAAAACGATAACCCCAGGACAGTTGCATCTACGAATTATCGAAAGAAATTGGAATCAAACATAATCAGAAAGGGAGGCGTAGAAGTCCGAAAAAAGAGATGGACAAAACTGGTAGAGTTGAAGACAACGATGTTTACAGAAACCAGTTTTAAAATTCACTTATTCTTCACGGCAATGTTGGTTGCCGCACGGGCTGACGATAGTTGCAGAAATATAGAATGCTTGCTGGGATAGGTAGTGGAACAAACGAAGGTCGCATCATCTGCAAAAACGCGTGGGGATCAGGTAAAGTGGGAAAAATCACTGATAAACAACAGAAAGTTAGGGAGAAGATCGAATTCTAACAGTCGCCGGCCTTAACTTTTCAGTGACAACGTGATACTACCTGCGTGAACTACAAAAGAACGATCCTTCAGGGAAAAAACCGATCTAAATGATTGGTTTCGAGTCAAATTCGTATACACCTAAATTCAATAGCGAGGTACCTAGATAAACAGACTAGAAAGTCTCGGGTATGTCACGTTTTGCTGAAGGAGTTTATAGCGGACGACCACACGCGAGAAACGAAAATAAAAAGACCGCTGGTGTAAGGTTCGCGCTGAAAACTATTCTGGAGGCCGCTAAGCAGTTCGCTATTCTCTAGGTAATGAAGTATACGCCTGGCAGAAAAGGACTCCATAACTGTAAATAAAATTGGGATAAGGGAGAGGTACGGGACGATAGTTAGTTCGACCTAAAGAGTCACTGCGCTTAGAAATGAGAATCATGAGAAAAGGTCAAGGGATGAAAATGTTGTGAAGGCGAATGATAGGCAGGAAAAGCGCACTGTGGGGAAAAATAAAGAAAAAGTATGGGGCAAGCATATGACTGAATGTTAAAGCTTCATGATTTAGGTGAATAACATAAAAGATGCCAATTATCCAAATGGGAGGAAGGGTGATCTATGAAACACTCCGGAAATCAGTTACGGTCAAGCTCCGAAACCACTGGCCACCAGAAGGAATATCAACCAATTCAGTGGTCTTCGGCTGACTAGGTGTCCTTTGGCTTTGCCAATGGTAACCAAGAGGACGTTAACAACTGGAAAGAGGTATGGAAAAAAGAAAGAAGTGGGATGAACGAATCGCCGTTTGTACAAACGCTTCATCTTACGTATAGAAGAGGCCGGCATGACAGAACCACTCGTGAGAGGACATCGTACCGGGTTTACGGATGTGGACAGTAAATAATCGCAGGACATCGAAGACTAACGTAGTGTTGTCTGCGAAGGAGAAGGGATCCAAAGAAGCACAATCGTGTGAGGGGGCCTCAACAGAAAAGTCACTCATTCCGTTTCAATCCGCCAGGAAGTAGCACCAAAACAGACCTACAGACAACGTCCAAACAAACGCAGTTAATGAGAACGTGGTCTGATAAACCACTTGGAAGAGAGCTGATTACTGTATGCGCCGAAGGGTTATTACTTTGGATGAGACCCAACTGTAAAAAGTCAGGGCTTCGGCTGGGTTCTAACCAGCGAAAGCATGCCTCAACGCGGCAAGCGCACTGCCAGCTGACCTACGAAGCCACGCCAGAAACTCGAAAATGTCAAATTTGGACTCGGTCACCCACCCATCCCACTGTCTCATATGGAATCCACCAAATGATCCAGGGGATCGGCTGCCCCGGCAGAATTTCTCAACCAGTTATTAGTTAGGAATAACTTAAGGGTGTGCGAGTTGCCGCCGTCTAGATCAATACTCTTCACAGGCAGCGGTACAAGTTGAGAAAGGTCGGAAATAACAGAAAACTGTTCAACATTTCGGCCTGTTTTGGTCAGTTCCGGGATGCACTCAGCACTACGGACAGTAAGATTCTCAAATACGCAAATTTCAGCATTGGAATTCATGTGGAATATTTGTGAAACCATTAAAACGGACAACATTCGAGATCACAGTTCAAGCCAGCAATCGAAACGCGAGCAAGAAAGCAGGATACCACTAAAGCTGAGACCTAATGGATAACGTAAGTTTGACGACGGAGAGTGGTACTGTAAACAGTTACGTGCTAGCGATCATGCAAGCATATGTAAACTTATCTGTGCAAAATGAATAAAAGCGATAAACGTTCTCGTGGGATAAAAAATAAGATGATTTTAGTCTGAAAATGACTGCCCTGAAAAAGACCGCCTAATTTGTCCTCATGGATGCATAGATCTAATCGCTAATTACAGCACTCGTCTGGTTCTGCAAACCAACAAACCATAAAGGCCAACATTCCTGTTACATCCATACCCGAAGGAGTGAAAATGCTCTTCATAATTTCATCAGGGGTTAGCGTTCCCATAAGTTGTCCTCTTTCTGGTTTGTTAAATCCCACAGACGTCAAATAGTATTGATGCAGTCGATGCAAGCGACGAAAGCAAGAATCACACTTCGCGCAACATCACAAAACCTACCATTGGTAGACGGGAGATCTGCCATATGGAGGCGCTTAGACGTGTGCATCGAGGAGACAAATGTTCCCATAGCATTTTGGTGTAGGCTGAATCAATTACAGGGCATTCGAAAATATTATTACGCATAATCCTTCCCGTTCGCAAAATATCAACTCAACCACCGATACTCACATAAACCATCTCACTTACTGTGCCCTACGACCACCTCACTAGCCAATACCTAAACTGTAAAAAGCCAGCACAAAGGACGTTATCATCATTCAAAACAGGTGTCTATATTTAGACCTGCAGGCGGAAGTCTAATAAGTTATCCTGTTGAAACACAATGTCTACTTAACGTACATCTCGTATTACATTGATGCTAAAAAGCCGAACTGATCACAAAGAGAACGGGTCGAATTTCGCTATCTACAGCAGCCCACCTTGAAATCACGCATCAACTTTTCATGGGCAACCGTCGTCTGATAATCGGACAAAACCCTTGGTATTTCCGAATCACCATCGCATGCTCGACCTCGTTTCAAGCTCGACATTACCATTGGTTCAAAAGTCTTTTAACACTTTCTACATCTCGTGAAACGCTGTGTCATGCAATAACGTATGCAATGGAGACAAACCAAGATTTTATACTCAGATTGCAATTAAAAACGACCAGCCTTGGAATAGAACTATTTTTGTTGGGAATCATAAAACGTTTCCCCGAGAGTTTGAGGCCAAAATAATTGTTACAAGAAAAACAACAAACAGATGAATGTGCGATAACAAAACGAGAGAACCAACATACCTAGAGTGACCACAAAGCTAAGCCATGTTCCAATTTAAAAAGACGGTTGGAAAGCAGTGGGAACAAAAAACAACGGAAATGAGATATAAAACAAAGCTTACCTGGAGGGCCTCAGAGGTACCACAGGCAGCTCCAATAATTAGCTTTCCCAACTGCACAAAGTCCGCAGCCTAAGGAATCGAAGGAAATCGAGAAAAGATCATCAATGATGCGAAAATGATCGCTAATCTAGTGGGACGAGGTAAGACCACCGGAGTGTTAACAAGAGTTCTTGATGAGACGAAATCACCGAACTAACTGTGCCACATTAAGCTACACGAGTGATTCAAAAAGAGGTCATATCAATCACTGAACGATTCTGAGAAAGATCTCCACAAGGGAAACAAGGGAAATACTAGCACTTGGAAATCGCAAATTCTTGGACAGTTTGAGAGAAGTGCTAAGTTAGTTGATTAGGATTTTTGATTCTTGGTAAAAAAAAAAATGAACCCAAAGTTGGCTATCACCTGCAAGTAGTAACTGTTTCAGCCATATTTGGTGTCCTCCACATTCAAAGTGGGTTGAATATGTAGATTATTGCTTGTTTTCACACCACGGATAACATATGCCTGGAAGTAAACTGACCTATCAGAGAATAGATGAAAAGATTTGGTACTACATGTGTAAAAAAAGACAATCCTGTTTGCATAATACTCTTTACAGCGCAAGGATTTTGCGCGAAATATAGACATCCAATCTGTGACTAGTACTGACTGATGCGATTTCGTATTGAATCGTTTTCTGAGTAGTACCACAGGAATGAGGTGTGAGTGAACACTCATCAACTACATGCGTGCTGGATGACTTAACACAATATACATATTACTGGGCGAAGTACGTAAACCATTTAATCACATGACAGAAAGTGGCTACCGTCCAACCTTATTCCAAAAAAGGTTAAACAGCGGGCACTCGGATACTGGATTTCATAATGATGTGAGAAGGCTGAGCTGCTCGGACAGTCAGAAAGCTGTAAGAAATTATACCTGTTGTAGCAAAACGTCATTCAACAGAGCACGATCTTTATTGTCTAACTCGTACTTTCCCACGACACGGGCGCGCTCGTGTTTATGAACCAGAATTTCATTCCACAACGCAACGACGGTTTATGCTCTCACGTCGTGTGCACTTCTGCCCTATTTGTGTGCATGTGTGGCTGACGCCCTTTGTCATGGGTTTTTTGTCTGTCATTTCTCGTCCGTTGGGTTAATATTGTTGAACGACAGCGCGTCCGCTCCCCCGTGTTGTCCACAATCCACTCGCTGTAGGCTTTAGCCATACCTCACTGCCGCGTTGAGATATACTACCAAGTGTTGGAATAATCATGCCTCCGATTTCGTCATCCATCACAGCATAAATAGTATCAGCCAGAGGAGGAAGACGAAAACTGAGCAAGGGAGCAAAATGACCACCCCATCTAACCTAAAAGCAGGTACCCATAGTGACTACTAGGATCAGTTCGCTAGTTCAACGACGAATGAATGAAGGAATTCTTTCATAATTTCTAGACACGTTAGACATAAGATCTGATGTGTTCATCACAAGGAGAGGATGCAGACAATAAAACACGTAATGTAATCACATGAGTGGAAGAATGTATCGCTTTTGCTAGAAGCAGGTTAATTTACGTAGCTCAAATGGTCCAGTTGATCGGAAGATCGTATCAACCAGCGGCAACTTTCAAACGAATTTGTTGAAGTGAACGAATATTTTTTTTATACGTAGACAAGCCTTGGGGCACATGATGGTCGAGCAAGGCAACCCCAGAATAATGCTCTGTGAGGGAGTATAGAAATACCATTGTGGGTAGTACATTAAATAGCGATAGTTGTAAGCGGACAATTCTGCAAAGTAAACACTTTAATCAAGTGGGCCTATGGTGCGCACATTGATGATATCCCAATTTTAATTTGAAATCTAGTTACTGATAGATGCGGTGACATCTAAGCTTTTGTTAATCATGAAGTGGAAACCAGTATTGATAGCCAGCACGAAATATCTTATGACGTTGGGAGTACGAGAGGCACTAGTTAACATGGAAGACTCTAGGTCTGGCAAAAGGTTTCTTGCCCACCGACCTCGCATTTAATTTGACAAGATCAAATGAAACGAAAGTTACCAAATTAAAAGGTGGCCAGATATTTCGCCACCTAAAAAAGCAGGCAATGGGAGGCAAAAGCAAAACAAAACAGTACAATAAACGGTAGTAACAAAGCATATGCATTGCTTTCATTAGAACTGCTCGTTTTCACCTGATGATACTCAAAAACCATCACGCTACGATCATACATGATAAAGGTGTAGGAACAAAAACAAACCTGATCTTCAGTGAGATGAGGGTCTTCAGACCGATGGAACAGGACGTCTTTCAGGCCGAAGCAGTTGATACGCAAGCTGTGCGGTTGTGTTCAAAGAAATAACTCACTAAGGTACGTAAACGAGGTTTTGGACATAAAAGAGTTGACTAGGCGGTCAACAAAAAGTACGTGGTTCACTTCTGTACAACTTTACGACTAACAATGGCAAACGCGCAAAGTTGGCTGAAGCCTGTGAGTGTCAAATTCACAAAACTAAGGTGGCAGGAGTGGCCAGATACATCATCATATAACATAAACAGAACAGATGTAGGGGTCAATGAAATAAAGACGAAATGCCTCGAGAGCCACTTTGACGAATCATCCTCACAGACCTGCTTAACGTTGACAAGTACTGTACAACGTTTGGAAACACAACTGAGTAATTGATAAACGGAGTGTTGTAATCGATTACAACATTCCTGAAGAAGGCCATCCGAGGTGGTTGAAACGTAGAGTATTACAACTTGCTCATAACGTTGGATTATTCTCAATCCATTTATCAACAACATGGTAAACACGACACCCAAACTGTTTGACTTCATTCGTACAAACTTTGGTGCGGAAATCTTACGACTGAGTAGTCTTGAACAGCTGGGAATGCTAAAGATACACGTTTGCTCACGCACTAACATTCAAACTAACCAACAACGAAGAAAAATATCAAGAACAGCGGATAAGACACAGACTGCCACTCTTTGAGAAATCTGTGATGGCGAGTTACAAATCGGGTTGGTAACGCAGGCATGATGAATCTACAGCGTCTGATCAATACACATACAATTTTATTTGTCGAGTATGGCGAGTAGCCAACACGGGCAGTTGGCAATATTCAACTGAGGACGTATAGGTGAATATAGTTCAACAATTTACCTTCAGGTCGGCACAATCATACAGGGGAGCCAGAAAGTTAGGTGGAAATGTTGGACGGACTTATTACAGAGAAAAGAAAT